TCTGACTTAAAAACATTTTTTAGCTTGTGAAAATACCAGTGTTCTAATCATTTTGGCCACCACTGTATGTTAAATGTCTAAATTAACCTCAAAAAGATCTAACCCATTTCAAAAAACGTTGAATTACCAGCCAAAGTATGTCCATGTTGTATCTGCAAAACTTAAAATGAGACCGCATCCAAAGGCAAATCCAAGAAAGCAGGCTCGAACAGCCACCTGATTAAGCAAAAAGGCAGGAAATTGTGAGCCAGATCCTGATTCTGCAAACCCACATACAGTAAGCTGTGTTCTTGGAGAGATTATTTATATTGACAGAGAAACCTATAGGAGATCCCATTAGAGTGCTGATGTAACAGGATTATACCCGACACAGGGAATTACCAGTGACAGAATTCTGTAGCCTTTGCAACTACACATCTAGATATCTTTATTCATTTAAAACACGTATACAGCACTAGACAGTGGTTCGGTTACCAGTTAATTACACATGTGCTCTATCTGTACAACACATCTGATTCAGACTGTCTCTCTGAGTCTTACCTTGTATAAAGGTCCCTTGTATATGATTAGTAGGAAGCCATTGATAACTGTGATATACGCCGCAATGGCTATTTTCCCGTTCACATCCGTGAGGTAATCGAATATCCAGTCAATGTGAGAGCCGAATTTCACAAGTAAATGTATTATGATGACGCCCAGTCCTGAGATAAAGCTAATAATACTTATCCTCCCTTCTAGCACCAACCTGCTGCCTGCCATGTTGAAAACAGCAAGATCTCGCCGAGAAATCTCGCGTGGCTTCAGAGCTCACGCTGACTTCTTTACTAATTGGTTTGACAGCTTTTTCACGCTCATTGAAATGTAGATATGTATTAATTTATCCTGATGTGCGACTTTAATTTTAAAAGATTAAATTATTCTATTATTATTGTTATTATTATTATTAGTAGTAAGATTCTGAAAACTTAAGGAATCATTTCAAGCTTTCTAAAAATGAAATAATAATAGAAGTAATATAATAATATAAATATTTAATATATTTATTTAAAACCATACACACGTACACACATAATTGTTTCCTTACAATGAAATCAAATGTGCCAAGCTGTTAATGTTCTATAAAAATATTAAAAAATATTATTTTTATTATTATTACACAATGCGGTTTAATGAAAGTATTCTTTACCATGCAATGCAAAGGCTGTATGTTGTACAATTTACTAATAAAGCAATAAAACTAAAATGTTGATTCACTCAAGCCCTATTTTTAGTCAACAACCTACGTACACTTAATAAAATGAGAATTTAATATTAATCTACAGCTGTAATACGTGGAATTTAGATGGTGATGGCGGTGGTGAATACTACAAAACATACTGCCGGTGTCAAATCAGCAAAGCACAATATTTCTCCTATAATAACAAATACATGGCTGTCAGTGAACATGATGAGAAGCATTTTTTCAGCGTAGCACAAAGTAGTTGTAGAGTAATTCAGATTTGAGCTGAAAGGAAGATTTAATGGTTTAATAATGTGAGATGGAGATCTCCCTTGTGTCCTTCTTTGCGTGTCCATTCCAAAGCTGCTCGTCTGATTGGAAGGACTGGGGACCTGGCAGACGTTGCAGTCGCAACATTAGACTGTCTTTGCATGCTCAAGTCCATCTATTCACTACTGTTCCACTGTGATGCCAACAACTCAACACTCAACCACATGAACACAAACACAAAATACATAGAATTACTTATGTCTACATGCAATAACTGTCAATAAATTTGTTACAATTTTTTATGTTCCACATTGACATGTCTCTCAATCTTAATACCACACATATCATAACACTGTAGCTTTTTCATTCATTTGAATCAGCTGGCCTTGCAGGTATATGTTCTCCTGCAAATATCATAATCAGTCTTATGCATATTGCTGTTTTACAAATTTCAGAAACAATTATATCTAAGAAAGCAATCATAGGATACACATAAACATGGATAAGAATGAATATAAAATGTTCCAACACAGTGGAAAATATAATCACATGAATTTGGAATGGAAAATATGACAAATTATCCTGCCTCGTTTAAACAATAATGAACATGCCACGGTTTAAGCTTATACCCTCAGGATCAACACATTGTCCCTTTTTGCGTGTGATGCGGTAATGCCTGTGTAATTTAGCATAGCACCGAAGCCCTGTAAAAACAGGGAAGGAACATTTTAAATACGGTTTCTACTTTGTTAGCATGAGTAACAGTCAGTCCAAAAACACTTGCTCACCTTCCTCACACATGCAGCTATCATAGCACTTGTTGTTGAAGCCGCGGTTGTGAAGCTCACATACATGTTTTCTGAGATTGCAGCAAGACCCTGAGAAAGTTCATGAAAAAGAGGTAAAAATGGTGTCATCATTTATTTCACTTAATCAAATGACTTTGAATTATACTACTGGGGTCGGTAAGATTTGTAATGTTTTTGAAAGAAGTCTCTTATGCTCACCAAGGCTGAATTTATTTGATCAAAAATACAGTAAAAACAGAAATATTGTGGAATATTATTACAATTTAAAATAACTGAATTTTCAGCAGCCATTATTCCAGTCTTCAGTGTCATATGATCCTCTAGAAATCATTCCAATATGATGAATTGGTGCTCAAGAAACATTATCTGATTAATAGCAAGTTAAAAGGAACAGCATTTATTTGGAATAAAAATCTTTTGTAATCTTTTGTATCTTTACTGTCACTTTTGATCAATTTCATTAGTTATTGCTGAATAAAATTATTATTAAAAAATCTTCTGAGTGGTAGAATATTACATTATAATTACTCAAATTACAAAGAGAAATGCATGTGGGAAAAGTCACCTGGCAGACAATCTAGGTGATGTTTGCAGCTCTTATCTGATGTAAGTGTCACAAGCTCAGTGCTGGGGCTTTTTGTGGCCTGTTTGTCAGAACCTGGATAGAAACAGAGCAATGGCATTATGAGTATATTTGTATTTTACCAACACCTTAAACAGCAGACACCAGAATTAAAACATCTTAATAACATTTACTACATTTCATTTTTACACATTAGGGAATTTGACATTTGGCGTTTTCCATGCAGAGACTGATGAGGTATGGGGGGGAAATGTGCCTAATAGTCCTAAATGGCTCATTCCTGTGGTCCCAAATGTAAAGCAATACACATTATTCTGACAAACGATGTAGCATATATTGCAAAACATGCACAGATTATCTCAGGTCACCATTTCAAAGCAAGCATACTTAAAAACTGAATCTCCCAACATTAAAACTCACAAACATAAAAGCAGAACAAAATATCTGTATTTGTATATGAAACATTGACCTACCTCGCTTCTTAGAAAATTGCTTTTTGTGTGCAGGCCTCATATCTTCATAATCGGTCCAGTCGAAGAATGCCATGTTGAAAGTGGGCATCACATCTCCACCTGAATAACTTCCGACCTGAGGTACAAAACAACATATTTAATATTCATGCCACTATATGAGGTGTTGAAATTACACTTTTTCATATGAATGTAAATCATTTGTTAATCCTGGTCTGTTTTATACCTTTTTGAGCCAAAAAAAACAAGAAATTGATTCATGTGTGGATTTAATTGATGGCATGAACCTATTATCCCTCATAATGTGGTTCATTGGGATTCAATTTTACTAAGCTTGTTTCTAGACACTGATAGATGAGAAGCTGAGATATTTTTTAATCAGTGTGACTGAAAAGACTGAACAGCTAGATGATGGTTACCTGTTGTTTACAGGAGGGGTTTGGCTTTGTGGAGGGCTCCCCACCAACTGCTGCAGTTACTGGCGATATGAAGGAGCCAACAGTGGCTGCAGGAAACACTGGCTCTGTGGGACTCCCAAAGGAGTTTTTATTGAGCCTTTGATCAAAAGAAAGCCTCCGTTTCTTCCCTGATGCCAAAGACACTATGCGAAGAAAATGCCAAGCAGATAATTAAGAAATGGCAGGACATTTATAAAGGAGTTTTACTTTGGAAAGTTTGAGAGTCTCTTTTACCTTCATCATGAGTCCTAACGATGTGCCCTCCAAACACATTGCGACCAGTGGGACATCTCATTGCCTTCTCAGGAGTCTCAGCACCAGGAGAGATATTCATTTGCTCTGGAATTAAAGAATCAAACCCCATGGAGGTCCTCTTTTTTGGAGTGATTACCTGTCTTTTATCTCCTGGCTCCATCTCTAAGCGGACGGGACTGAGGCCCTCCAGGTCTGGCCCTTCATTTTGGGTGTGGAACACAGTAATGCGGGGCCTTTCTCTGAGCTGACCTGCTGTCATCCTCTCCTTGCGATCTCTGTACTTCCTGTGATGACTGTGTTGATGTATGGAAGCCTCTGGCCTGGGCGTGATAATGACATTGTCGCTGAAGAATTCCATGGCTGAACTGTGGCCCGTTTCGGTGCTCAGTGTCATGGTCACCATGTCAAGGAGGAGAAATGAGCTGAAATACCAACATAAAGCCACCATTCTAGGGGTAGAAAAGATTAAACAAATAATACAGCATTAAAGGGGTCATATGATGCGATTTGAAGTTTTCCTTTCTCTTTGGAGTGTTACAAGCTGTTCGTGAATATATAAGATCCCTAGAGTTGCAAAGACTAAAGTCTCAAACCAAAAGAGATATTCTTTATAAATGTTAAGACTGGTCAACGCCCTCCTAAAACGCCTCGTTTAAACACGCGCCCACATGTCTACATCACGATGTGGGAAGATTTGCATAACGCCGTCCAAATGTTCACGCAAAGAAAGAAGGTGTAACTTTATTGTTGCTGCCATCGTCGCTGCCATGTTGTGAAGACGCTGTGTGTTTCGTTGCGAAAGCGAAAATACTTTGTTTGGCCTTCCAAAAGAGGA